ACAAATGAAACCTTTCTCTGATTTCTTTATTTTGTTTGGTTTGTGTGAGTCAGGGTAGCCTGTGTCCTAGGCTGTCCCGGAACTGGCTATGCAGCTCAGGCAGCTCCTGAACTTCTGATCCTCCTGCCTCCATCTCTCAAGTGCTGGAACAACTGGCATGGGCAACCATGCCCACCTTCCTTTGTCTGGCTTCCAGCTCAGCTTCCTAAGGTCATTTTTGTCAATTCATTTGATAAAATCATCTAGGGTGAACCAGAGGGAAATTTCGTTCCTGAGATACTCTGGGTTCACCAGACATGATGCTGTCTGGTTAACATTCTTTTTTTTTTTTAAATATTTATTTATTTATTATGTATACAATATTCTGTCTGTGTATATGCCTGCAGGCCAGCAGAGGGCACCAGACCCCATTACAGATGGTTGTGAGCCACCATGTGGTTGCTGGGAATTGAACTCAGGACCTTTGGAAGAGTAGGCAATGCTCTTAACCTCTGAGCCATCTCTCCAGCCCTGGCTAACATTCTTTTTTTTTTGGTTTTTCGAGACAGGGTTTCTCTGTGGCTTTGGAGCCTGTCCTGGAACTAGCTCTGTAGACCAGGCTGGTCTCGAACTCACAGAGATCCGCCTACCTCTGCCTCCCGAGTGCTGGGATTAAAGGCGTGCGCCACCATCGCCCGGCTCTGGCTAACATTCTTAACCATAAAGGTCAAATGGCTTAAAAACAGGTGGGCGAAGAAAACTCCCAGATGGCAGAGTGTAGCAAGCGTTCTCCAGGTAGTTCATGTCTAGAGCTACGGCTGCCTAGCACCGAGGACATCAGCATCCTCTGCCTTTTTCCCCTAATAGTCAGCCTGTTGTTTCATTCAACTATGTCCAGGCCTCTGGTGCACATATCTGAATCAATGTGCCCTGAGGATGGAGCAGGGCGGCAGGTGTTTAACTGGCAGGTGATTCTGCCACTAGGGTATTGATGGTCATGAGGTGCTATATATCTTTCTGTTTTTCATTTTTTTGTGTTTTATTTATGTGCATTGGTGTTTTGCCTGTTTGAGGGTGTCTGGTACCCTGGAACTAGAGTTACAGACAACTGTGAGCTGCCATGTGGGTGCTGGGAATTGAACCTGGGTCCTCTGGAAGTGCAGCTCGTGCTCTTAACCACTGCACCATATCTCCAGCCCCTGGTGCTATGTACCTTTAAGGCTGGCTATATCACTATGTCCTGCTACACCAGACACAAAGGTGGCTTGGGTGGGGGACTCTGGGTGTCTATGTGCTAGGGTACCACGGACTCAGCCCTTCAACTTCAGAGTATCTGGTTTGCCAGGAAGGTTCTAGATTGTTCTTTTTTTTTTTTTTTTTTTTTTTTTGCTTTTTCGAGACAGGGTTTCTCTGTGGCTTTGGAGCCTACCCTGGAACTAGCTCTGTAGACCAGGCTGGTCTCGAACTCACAGAGATCTGCCTGCCTCTGCCTCCCGAGTGCTGGGATTAAAGGAGGATCCCAGATTCTGGGCTGGCAGCAGGGACATGGAAATGTGTTGACCAATCTCTCAGAACAAAAGAAAATTTGGTCTGAACTGTGAACCATACTCAAGGCCAAGGTGATTTGAGATCCAAAATGGACTGGGAAATGACAGTACTCTAGCAAGGGAGGGCCTGGAGATAGGAAAAAGCTGACCCTGCAAGCTCTTTCCTTGCTGCACCCAGGGGCCGTTGCCATAAGTCTTTTGCTAACCTATCATAGTAGATGGTTGTAGGTCTTTGCTAACCTATCATAGTAGGTGGTTATAGGTCTTTGCTAACCTATCATAGTAGATGGTTATAGGTCTTTGCTAACCTATCATAGTAGGTGGTTGTAGGTCTTTGCTAACCTATCATAGTAGGTGGTTGTAGGTCTTTGCTAACCTATCATTGTAAGTGGCTGTAGGCGTTCATACTCTTCAGACATAACTCGCTCTAATCTACTGAAGGTGCTGAGAGAGTCAGCTTGTATAGGCCCCTGGGCTGTGGTGAGTGCAGGACTTCAGCCAGCGCTCAGGGAGGGCCTGAAGCCCAAAAGTGGGAGATTGGCAGAAGCCCATGCCGGACCCTTCCTCTCCTCCCCTTCACTTTTCTTCTTTTGCTCTCCCCTCCCTCCTTTCTCTTCCATTCTCCCCTTCTCGCACCCTCTCTTACTCCCTTGGGCTTCGGAATCAGAAATAATTCAGTTTGAATCCTGGTTCACACACACACACACACACACACACATCTCAAGCTCAAAGCCATACAGGAGATGCTGTCTTAGGGAAAAATGAAAGGTAGACATTTAGATAAAAGGGAGAGAGCTGCACTGCTGCAGTTTAAAATATGAATATAATTAGTTTGTTATCTTTATCATGTATGTGTGTGTTCATTTGTCACACAAGTCTGTAGAGGTCAGAGGACAACTCTGTGGAGTCAGCTCTCCCCTCCACCTCTATGTGGATTTGGGGAACTGAACTCAGTCCCCAGGTTCTGGGGGAATACTTCTACCCAGAGATACCCCACTGGCCCCACTGGAATTTTAGCTGGCTCATTTTAAAGGTAAACTGTTCATGAGCTATGTTAGGGGAAATGTGGGGAGTTCCAGGAAGTTCCAGGAGTGGGTTGGGATTTCCTCGGAACAGGACTCACTCTCCATCTGTGCTCTTATATGGGGCTTTCCAGTGTATTTTGGTGTCAAGACAGCACAGCTGAGGGCAAGTTTGCAAAGCTACTGAGATGGAGCTGTCTCTACAGTAAAGGAGAGTTAGCAGTCATCCTGAAGGTCTGTCACCCAGCTCGCCATTGCACCAGCCCTAGACACCTTGCTGCTTGCTTTTTCTTCTGGCCCTCCTTCTCTCCAGCCCAAGACAGTTATTACCACCAGTGGTGTTCAGAGGACTTAGCAACCAATATGCCTCGACACTGGCCAGTCATAATGGTCAGCGAGCGGTCAGGGAGGCTGCACACCAACCAGCCATCAAACCTACAGACAACAGCCTAATAGTTATCACACTTGTGGGCACAATCAATTGATCATGTTTGTGATTGTTTGTTTTTGAGATAGGGGCTCACTAGATAGCCTTAGTTGGCCTGGAATTCACTGTGTAGACCAGGCTGACCTCACACAGAGAGATCTGCCCGCTTCTGCTCCTGAAGCCTGGAATGAAAGGGGTTTGCCATCATTCTTGGCCTTTGTTATTTATTTTCTATTGCTCAAAAGTTCTTGAACGTGCAGGATGTGGTGGCGAACACACCAGGTGTCGTGGTGAATACCTGTAACCCCAGCACTCAAGAGGTAGGGGCAGGAATGTCTTTGGGAGTCAGAGACTAGCCTGGTCTACACAGTGAGTTTCAGGCCAGCTAGTGCTACATAATGTGACCCTGTCTCAAAACAACAACAGCAAAATAAAACTGGAAAAAATAGTGATGAGCCTTTTGAACCAGGAACTCAAGGTTACTGATCAGCTCGGGTGTTCAAAATCTTTCACAGTCAAATTTGACGCTTCCATTATTTTTATGGTAAGAATATATTTTTAGAAACTGTAAGGCTAGGAATTCTGTATAGTTCTCATAACAGACAATCTGGATTTGGATTTCTCTTTCTCCGTTTTGACAGTAATTTAGATTCTTAGTGCCTCAGTTCTAGATCTGGATAATGGTTCTAATATGGTTGGATGTGGGACTCAGGGGTTGGACACTTGTTTAGGATAGGCAAGGCCTTAGTGACGAATGCCCTTCATCCCACCACGTGCAAGGAAGGCGGGCAGACGCCTGAGTTCCAGACCAACCTTGACTACGTAGTGACTTCCTAGTGACTTCCGGGTCACCCAGGGTCAGACACAAACTTTGTCTCAAAATAAACAAATACATTTTAAGTGGCCTGGTGGTGGTGGCACACGCCTTTGATCCCAGCACTCTAGAGGCAGAGGCAGGAGGATCTCCATGAGTTCAAGGCTAGCCTGGCTTACAGAACAAGTTCTAGGATAGCTAGGGATACACAGAGAAACCCTGTCTCGAAAACAAAGAAAAGATAGGTAAGGCTGTGGACTGCATCCTCGGCAGAGTAAATTACTATTACTACTAAGACTATAGCACTGATGAGACGATTCTATTAAGTCATACATGAGAAGCATTCAAAATACTGCCCATTAATGGCAGCCATTATCATCTACATTTTATTTTTAATTTATAATTTTATTTTGTTTTGTGTGCATATGTGTGTTCTGGTGGACATGCACATGAATTTGTTGTACATGTGGAGGCCAAAGGCTGAGGCATGGAACCCGTCTTGTGTTTGAGACAAGCTTTCTCATTTTCGCCTGGAATTCTCAAATTCAGCTAGGCTGGCTGGCCAATGAGTCCCAGGGACCGGCCTGTCTCTGACTCCCCGTCACTGGATTACTGACCCTCCCAGCAGGTCCTAAGTTATTCCAGGGTCTGAAGAGTCACTATCTGAAAGATATGGAAGAGAGAGAGAGACGGACGCCAAGCAGTATTCTTTTTGTCAAGGCATCCCGTTTATTGAAGCAAGTTTTACATCTTATATACTCCTCAGTGAGGAGCTCGGGCAGGGGGGAACTGAGGAAGGGGGAAAGGGGGGAAGGAAAGGAGGGGCTCGGTAGCTAGGCAGCAAAGCTGGGCAGTTGCAAGGTCAATGGCTAGAGCACCTGCTGTTAGTGATAAGCAGCCAACAAAGAAGACACTCTGAGGTGCTGTCTGAAGCTTAAATCTCCAAGGTCAATATACAATGTCTCAGTTAACTTTAAGTTTTCTGTCTCAAGATTTCCACCTCAAGGCCCTGTGAGACATGAGAAAGGAGAAGCCTGAAATGGCTCCTGACAGATTACAAGTGGCATCTCCACATCTGGCACCACATCTGTTAAAGTGGGTTCTGGGGATCAAACTCTGCTGGCAAGGCAGGACTTTACTGACTGGGCCATCTCCCTGGCCTCCTGCATCTTTAATGTTCTGAAGCTGTGTTCATCTTTTCCTCCATAGTGATGAAGGTGGAAGAGGAGAAGGCTGGGGTCGGAAAGCTGGATCCTACAGTCTACAGGAGGAGACAGCCAGGTCAAGGTGATGACACTTGAAAGCCTGATGTCACTCCCACAAGGGTCTGAGCATTCCTGAGTGTCACTGTGTCAGCACTCTTAATTGGAGACTGAGAGAGCTCTTCTGCCTTGACTCTTGGCAGTGTGTCCCGGAAGCTGGCAGAGCCAGCTACCGGGTCCTAGCAGACATGTCCAATCTAATCCAGGCTCACAGGCTACTAAGTAACTCTGACTGTGGCCTAACACCAAACCATAAGCTTACTTTTAAACTATTATGATGGGGCTGGATGGTGGTGGCGCCTTTAATCCCAGCACTCAGGAGGCAGAGGCAGGTGGATCTCTGTGAGTTCGAGGCCAGCCTGGTCTACAGAGCTAGAAGACCCCCCCCACCCCGTGTGTGTGTGTGTGTGTGTGTGTGTGTGTGTGTGTGTGACTGGGAGATGACTCAGTGCGTTAAGCATTTGCCATTTGTTGTGCAAGTGTGAAAACCAGGTTTAGCTCCCCAGAACACATGTAAATGTTGGGTGCATGGGGCGTTTCAGGAGCAGAATTTCAGCTCTTGGAATGCAGAGATAGATAGGGATTCCTCAGAGCAAGTTGCCTGGGTAGACAAGCCCAGGCATCCAGCTCTGGGTGCCTAAATAAATAATGGGGAGAGCAACCAAGGAAGACATCTGACATCACTCTTGGGCCTCCACAAACACAGTGTGCGCATGCTCATGAGCCCATACCAGTGAACAAGTGTAACCGCCCCCTCCCCCACAGTTTGTTGTGCAGTTTTTGAGGTGTGAACTTGGTAGCTGACACGGTCACACCACAGTGACAAACTACTGAACTGAACTTGTCTCGAGGGACCACATGACTGGGCATTTTGTCTGAGTGGACCAGGGCAGAGTTCCCCCCAACAGAAGGCCATTGAATTCACGAATGCTGCCAGCTATGATCAATGAGAGAGACCAACATTTAACAGATTCTGAAAAGAGCAGCTCAGTTAGAACCAGCACAGGCAACTGTGGGGCTGTTTCTCTTGGTGCAGAATTGCCGGCTTGGGGCCCCTGGAGCTGAAGTTACAGGTAGGTTATCGTGAGCTGTTGGTATGGGTGTTGGGGACCAAACTCCAGGTCTTCTACAAGAATAGCCTATGATCGGAACTTCGGAGTCATGGTGCTTTGATTTTACAGTCATGGGAAAACAGAAGCATCCAGGAGAAAGCATGCTTCAGGTTTTGAATTTGGATTTATTTTCCTGGGCTTGTTGGTTGTCAATGCTGTGGAGAGGCAAAAATGAGAGATGCCCCGCCCCTGGGGCTCCCCCCCCCCCCCCCCCCCCCCCCGCACGCACATTTTAACAGAACACGATTCCCAGCACCTGCTGAGTTGGTTCACAGGTAGAATTCTGTCTTCCCCAGTGTCAGGACTTTGGTTCTACCAGGCAGCCCGTGTTTCCATACTGCTTTGGAAGCTGTCTCTGGAACTGTAACTCTCTGTGCTGTTTCCACAGATTTTCCTTCAATACATATTGGATTTCCAGTCCCCAGTTACACACAAAGGAAAAGTGACTCAAAGGGACATCTTCCAGGCTTACAAAAAGTCCAGTGGGCTTTGCAGCCGGACAAACCACAGCAGGAACTGGCTGGCCCAGGGGTCAGGGCCAGTGGCCAGGGAGGCGGCGTGGATCTTACCAAAAGGACTCGTAAGTTCCTTCAAGGGCCAACCTGCTGGTGGGAGTTTCTCTGTGGAATACAGGTGACTTCCATGGGCTCAGCGTTGACCCTCAGGGCTCCACTACTCCTCTCTTCTCACTGACACAGCTAACCTGAAGCTCTCCATGCTCGCTCTGTGACTGGGAACTATGCTCTGGGTGGAGGGATGGCTCACAGCACTTGCCCAGCACACAGGAAGCTCTGGTTCCATTCCCAGCACTTGAACCAGGCATGGTTCCAGCACTGGGAGGTGCTTTTGTCTGGCTGTTTGCAGAGGAATTTTCATTCGGTGCTGCCCCACCCACTTGCTTTAGTCATCTGTGCTTTTGGTGTCAGTTCCCAAAAGTCACCAGTGGGACTACTGTCTAGGAGATTTCCCTCTATGTTTGAGGGGAGTTTTTTATGGCTTGGAAATTTAAAAAGGTTTTTTTGTTTTATTTTGCTTGTTTACATTTATTTTGTGGGTGAAGGGTTGTGTTGTGGTGAAAGTGTGGAGCTCAGAGGACAACTTGTGGGAGCCAGATCTCCTCTTCCATCTCATGGGAGCAGGGAGCCAGGGCTCAGTTCGAGTTGTTGACCACTGAGCCATCCCTCCAGTCCCTGGCTTGGAGGTTTTACTCTGGAGTCTTTAATCTCTTTTGAGATCTTGTGCACAGCATAAGGGTGTCTGGTTTTGTTCTTTCTCAATGAATATCCATTGCTTGCCAATACTATTAATAATACTATTAATAAAGTAACTGTCCTTCCCCATCCTATATTCTTGCTACCCTGGTTACACACCGATTGACTCCACGTACATGGATTCACGTCTAGACACCTTTGCTTCCTCTGTTCCATTGCTCTCTGTGTGCTTTTATTTTATATTGTTGTTGTTTACCAGTACTGTGCTGTTTTGATTCACTGTAGCTCTGTAGTACAATTTGAAGCACTCAATAGTCATCTTAGCTAATCCTCGCAGCTCCCTGAGGGAGAGGTACGTCATTATCCCGTATTCATTTTAGAAAACCAAAGTTCAAAGACACGTAGCATAATGCAGCCTGTAATCAGGGAAGCTGGGAAACGAACCGTTGACTCCCAAGCCTGTGTGAATGCTACTCTTCATCAGTGGTCAGCAACGGAGACAGGCTGGTTGGGAAGAAAGGGGAATAATAGCATATTCTCTTCCTCTCTTCCTCTCCCTCTCCTTCCTTACCTTTCTCTGTTCTCAGTGTGCATATAAATTTAGGAGCTCAATTTGTACAGGTTGTTCAAGCTGCATTCAGGCCTAGAATGTGCAATGAGTAGAACCCTCAAGCCATAATGAGCATGGGCAAGAGACATACTTTCTACCCTGGAAAAGAAACGGTTTTCTTGTCTGAGAATCTCTTGAGACACCATGGAAGCAAGAGCCTTAGATGCACACAGTCGTCTCCTGTCTGCTCAGCTGCTAATAAGAACTTGGCCCAAGACCCCATCAAGTGGGGGCAGACCCAACCTGGGACGTCCCAGCATTCAGTCCCCTCATCTGTAGGTGGAAGGCTGTGGTGGATACCAACTACCCTGGTCTTCGCAAGGTGGAGGTATTTCCAGTCATGAGGAGGCAGGACTTCCGGCAATAAAATCATGCTCCAGGTTAACTGGATGGCTGGCCACACCAGACTGCCAGGGTTGCCAAATGAGATACAAACAGATAGAGTACTTGGCACAGTCCACTGTGCCTGGTTGGCTCTTAACCGCTGTTGGCACACTTGCATACGTTAACCCACGTTGAGAACACAGAGCCCAAGGCTTTTCCTCCACGAGCAGACACTTTTCTGGCTTTGCCAGCCTTACTGCTGCAGAGAAGCTTATCGCCCTTTCCGGTGGGAGGGGCAAGAGAAAAGTGCTGAAGCTGTCTTCTGTTTGCTGTCATAAGGCCATTCAAACACCAGAAGTGGGGCTGGTGAGAGGACCTGGGCTTGATTCCCACACCCATGTGGTGGCTCACACCGGTCTGTAATTCCAGGCCCAGTGGATCCAATGCCATCTTCTGCATCTACAGGCACCAGGCATGCACCCGGTACACAGACATACATGTAGACAAAACAACCATACACATACAATAAAAAATGATTAAAAAGAAAGAAAAAATCAAACCCAGTCCAAGCAAAGGAGAAGAAAGGCTATTTCCTACATAGACACTGGAGTCTTAGAGTCCCAAGACTTCAGAATCAAGAAGTCTTTCACGTTGCCTTTCGTTCGTTCCTTCCTTTCCTATGAGCTCTCTCTCTCTCTCTCTCTCTCTTCCTCTCTCCCTCTCTCCCACCTCTCTCCCTCTCTCCCTCTCTCTCTCACCTTCTCTCTCTCCCTCTCTCTCTCTCCCCGCCCCCTCTCTGGCAGGGAATCATGTAGCCCTGGATGAGCCCTAACTTGCCATGTAGCGCAGGTCAGCCTTGAACTCCTGATCTTGTTGCCTCCACCTCCCAACGCTGGATCTACAGACGTGTACCACCAGTGGGGCCAGGGATCAAACCAGGGCTTTGTGCCCATTAGGCAAGTGCTCTACCAACTGAGCCACGTCCCCGCCCCTTTCCCCATTTCTGAAGAGGATGGGCAAAGGCAGAGGACTAATTTCTCTCCACAATATCTCCTCTACCCAAGGGTCTCCGAGGTAGGCTGATTCAAATACACACTCAGAGATGAAACGCCGTGACAAAAGGCAAGTTGGAGAGGAAAGGGTTGACTTCACTTGCAGTTTCATGTAAACAGTTCATTATCAAAAGCAGTCAGGACAGGAACTCAATCAGGGCAGGAACCTGGAGGCAGGAACTGACACAGAGGCCATGGAGGGAAGCCGCCTACTGGATTGCTCCCCATGGCGTGCTCAGCCTGTGTTCTTATAGAACCTAGGACCACCAGCCCAGGGATGGAACCACCCACAATGGACTGGGCCCTCTCCCATTGATAACTAATTAAGAAAATACCCTATAGGCCCACCTACAACCTGAATTATGAAGGCATTTTCTTAATTGAGGTTCCCTTCACTCAGACAACTTCATCTTGTGTCAAGTTGTCGTAAAATTATCCAGCACAGGTTTCTCTTTTAAAAAGATTTATTTTTTTTTAACTATGTGGATGTGCATGTGAGCATTAAGAGTCTCCAGAGCTGGAATTTAGACAGTTGTGAGCTGTCTGGTGTGTAGACAGTTGTGAGCTGTCTGGTGTGTAGACAGTTGTGAGCTGTCTGGTGTGGGCAACTGAACTTAGGTCCCAAACTCAGGTCTTTTGGAAGAACAGCAAGTGCTCTTAACCACTGAGCCAACTCCTCCATGGGCCAAGCTGGCCTTGACCCATAGCAATCCTCCTACCTCAGCTTCCCAGGTAATGAGGTTATAGACATGAACCGCTATACTAGACCTGTGTGGCTTTTGTTTCCTTTTTAAAAAGATGTATTATTTTTACGTATGTTCCTGAATGTGCATATGTGTACCTTCTGCCTGCAGCACCAGAGCAAGAAGAGTGTGCTCAAGCTCCCCAGAACTGGAGCCACAGGCAGTTGGGAGCTACCTAATATGGATATTGGGAGAAACTGAACCTGAGCCTTCTGCAAGAGTAACAAACACTCCTAACCACTGAGCTATCTGTTCAGTCCCCTGTGCCCAGATGGGTGAATGCCTCTGCTGTCTTGGCATTTTAAGAAACAACCTCTTCAGGAACAAGGTTTCTTATACTCACGTAGGCCACCAAGTCCAGAGGGGACAGAGATGGTCATAGTTTCTATGTCAAAGGTTAAGGCCATCTGTGGCAGATTTTTGCTGTGGGCAGCATTTCTGGCAAGCACCCTCCCAGGGTGACCTCCTGTACCCTGAATCTGGAGTGTGCTCTGGAAGAGAGGGCCTGCTCAGACCTTGTTTACTTTAGGGTACAGTTCATCTACAAGAGATCAGCTTCAGTGGGCAGCTAAGTCTCAAGAGAGAGAGAGCCAGAGAGGAAGGAGAGACTTCTAAGAATCGGTCTCTGCCAGGGGAGCGTGTGTGGGCTCTCAATGCAAGAGCGGCTGACTCAAGGCTTGAGCCAGGGGATGCAGCGAGCCGGAGTCCCCTCTCTGGGGCTTCACGTCTCTTACAGCAGCTCCAGGGCAGGCAGGTCTACTCATTCCTCTTTTCTGTCCACACCCCAGCTCCCCATCTTCGTGTTCACAACCCCAGAAACCATCAACAAAGGCCACCTAACTGAGAGACCCAGTCCAACCTTTCCAGACATGGATCAGCTAGTGACACAAGTCATGTGTCACCCAAAGATGGCTTTCAGGGGTGGGAAACACAGGCTGGGCCGACATCCCCAAACTGCCTCCCACACGGGGGATTCCTGTGGGCATAAAGGGGCAGGCTCTCTTCTCCTGCCTTAGAGGACACATTTGAAGTTTTTGTAAAAATCAGGAAAAGGAATTTTGTCAGTCATGAAACTGGGGCACAGGGCTTCCTAGTCCTCTCCCAAAGACTCACTTTGCTTGACAAGAATGACCTTGGCACCCTGGGGTTATGTCTCCCAGTCCCCTGTATTCTGTCTCTCCGTGCCACTCACAGCCGCGTGCATCCCCTACAACTTCATCCCCAGCTCCTCTTTCCTGGCTCCTAGGTACTTAGCTCCCACCGATGTGCTCGTGAGTGTCGGAAATTCACTCACCTAGACAGGATTCACTGTGTGTCCATGCTGTGCAACCCCGGTCAGTGTAAAGCAATGTGCTGGAAGTGGGGCAGACTCTGACCATGGAAAGCTAAGCGGGGAGAGACTCACAGATCAGCTCCTGAAGTCGCTGACCTTTTGATGACCCTAACTTCTCTCCAAGGCTTTCCTAGGGTGAAGCCCATGCTTCTTGCCAGGGTTGGGGGTCACCAGATCACCCTGTGCTCTGCCCAAGCAATGGGTGGGCAGTCCTCATCCAGAGAAAGAGGTGCTCTGTGAGCTTCAGAACCTCAGCCCAGCCACACATAGTTCCCTTCCAAGTCCAGTCCTTCCTGTCTCCTCTTCC